TCCAAGTCTAATTAGCCATTTTACCTTTGCTTACTGCGTATCGGCAAGTAAGCTAGACATTTTCCGATGTTACAATAAATATAACTGACAGTTACATAACTATATGCTGTTTTATGAACATTTTTTACAGTGGGGAGGAAACGTTACAGAAAGTCAAAAAAGTCATAATATCCATAACAGCATTCCAACTGTATTTATTTGCGCTTCTAAAACTTACAACTGCGCTATTGTATAAAAAATGCAGTGCCTGAAATGTTTCTTCTGGTGGTTTCACAAAAAAAGTCTTCAAGCGTATTCCTACAAGGTAGTTGCTTGTGGTTCATTTTGTTCAATAAGCAAAATGTCCAGGCGAAGCGTGGTTTTTTGTACTTCTTGAAGGCGGGACAAAAAAAATTTTCGCCAAAGAATTTAAGTGCTCCTGAAATCTTGAATAGTATACGGGAAGCCAACTACATATATATACACTTCTACGTGGAACCCAGATTCACGTCGTATCTACACCGCAATGATTTCCTCAGTTCTAACTACAACCGGTTTTCCTGGTTTAGGCCGTCCTCAACCCAGTGTCGACATCGTTTACGATCAAATTTCCTCGTTGACTTTTTTTACTCAGAGATAGCCGTAACCTACCAAATTTTAAATTGCATTATAGAGGAAGACCTTGGGAAGGGACTTCGTCCTTAATTATGTAAGGTCGTATGTTTTAAATGTGATCTTTTAGTATCTAATTCATTCCACATTGAAACTGGAAACATGACCTTACTCATTTGGACGCGATCATTATATAGCATAAATAGTCTAAACCAGCGTAAAGACTAAAAAGACATTTTTCAAAATCAATTCTCGGGAAGTCAACGGCTTGATTCACGCCTTTAAGTTTCTGAGTTGGCCCTTTCCCATCTTCCATAATTCGTACTCCAAAACATATTTTTAATGGGGGATTATTTTCGCCCAAAATGGGGTGTAGATATCCAAACTCGCATAAGAAGACATATCAGTTTGTTACGATTTATTTAAATTCTTACGCCATCTACGTATTTCCTTCGTAATCCACTAGTTTAAAGATGTAAATTATTCTTATAATAGATTCTTTTACTTAGTTCTTTGTTTTGCCCTTAGAGGCCATCTGTTAGACTGTTAGAGGTTATTCTGCCCATGGAGGTCGTGGAGATGTCCATGGTACCTGTACTTCTACCCCTTCTTAGATTTTATCTTGCCCACGAGTTGTATTTCTTTTCCCTTCAGTGAAGTTATTGGTTACTTACAAATTTTTCTCTTCATACGACATTACTTTTACTAACTTCGTGTCTTACCTATAAAGGGATTATTGTTTTGGCTGTCGCCATATATCTTTGGAGTGGTTTCTTTCTTTCTTTTGATGTCTGTAGCTGTGTTCCATTTACTTGGACCCGCCATTTTATTGGGATTGATATTGGCCAACGTCACGCGATGGGTGTTTCTACATCACCGGTTCGAAAAATTCTACCAAATTTGTAGTGGTCTACCAGAACAAGGATCTCTTAGCCTTGTTTTCCCCTTTTGGTAAGTATTCTCTCCTCTCTTTTGAAATTTACTAAAGACTAAGTGGCGCTTATCCGGTTTACTATTACTGTTTATTCTCGATCTTTCTTGTAGTGGACTGTATATACTTTTCGTTGTGGTTGAAGGAATGGTAAAAAGCACTCTTGTTAACTACAACTACAACTATTTATTGATCTACTACAGAATACTTCAACCAACTACTTAATACTACTGAATGTGAATAGCAACTTCTTTAGGGTGGCAACCGGTTATGATGGCGTTAACTTCTCCCTCCACTAATCATGGCCGTAACAATTACTACTTTTCCCTTTTGCTTCGTTTATGCTAGTATATGTACAAGAACCCCGATATTCACCCCGACCCACCCCTTCCCCTGCCTGCGCTTACCGTGTGCTTATCTCAAGGTAATTTTGTTTTGCCCAAAGTGAACGTAACAGGTCTATCTACTGAGGATGAAACTTCGGGACTAATGAAAATCGTAATTAATTCTCTCCAACAGGAACTAAATTCTACATTCATTGGTTTTTTTACTCGATATAGATAACTCATTGAAATGATGTGATGAAGAAATAGAAAGCAATTGTAAAATTTTATGATACTGATATTGATGGGTCAGAACTTCACAGTGAAATTGCTCACTGCAAAATGCTTCTATCCGCTAGAAACGATTCAGGTAGATCTATTTATTAACTTTTATTATATCATATGGTGATGCTTTTCTACGAATTGCTTTACAAATCCTACTCACTATATCCGTTTCAACTGTAATTCAAGTTTTTTTAGCAAATTAATAGTTATAAGTCAGGCAAATGATACATTACTGGCGAGGAAATATTGCAGTACGAGGCCCATTTGGAGCCGAGTACTTTAATTTCAGAGTCAAATAGTGTCACACACTTATCTGCTAAATGAATCCTGCCGTCGCAAATGGTACAGGCGATGGAATAGGAAGATCCTATTGATGCCTGGGCGCCTTTATATCAGGTTCCTACTGAATAATCGACTCAGCGAATGTATGAGCTGTTAATCTAGAATCAGTCACCTACATGTACTCATTGAGTAAAGCTGTGAGCCAATCCCAAAAAAGACGCACACCCATAAGATTTGCAGATCAGAAAAATTGAATTTGCATTAATTGTTACGGTTTTTACTTCCTCCCATTTCTACACAAGTGCGCATTATGTCCATTTACATTTTTTAAATTCAATTTACATTTTTATAGAGTGTATTTTGTGATTTATTTGAAGGCAATTTCCCGCGGTCTTGGAATAAATTATTTTACTATGCTGTATGTTGGTTTTACATTATACAATAAATTACATAAAAAATATAGGTTGTGATGCATCAATGTAATTCGGAAAATGAATGCAAATAATTGACGTTAAGATATATAAAATGTTGTATTCAAAAAATACCAACATTGGGTCAAACCTCAGAAACAGTGATTCAAACAATTTTTTTGAGTCAGCCTACTAATGAATTTAACAATAATTCCGCGTGGTTCATTAGGTCGATTAGGATTTTTGGAAAGTCGATGATTTATCCAAAACGAAACCCACCGCTTGCCCGACGGCAATGATTGTTGTAATGTTGTCAAAAATATTTGAAGTACCTAGCACAAAAATTACAGTCCTCACAAGCGGATACCTAAAGGTGAATTTCCTTTACAAAAATTTTTGAAACTTTCATGGGCACTTATAAGGTCACTTGTAGACCCTGTAAACAAACTCAAACAAGGAAACGAACAATTGAATTTTAATACTCTTATGTATACGGAGGGAACATTTTAAGAGGACCCTTAGGTATTAGTAATTTCTTACACAAAAAAATGTTGATGATTTTGTAAGATCCAAAAATAAAATTTATTTATTAAAGTTATTTTTTTGTATTTTTGCGGGCTATAGCGAATAAACATATTTTTTTCCAACCAGTCTAGCGTCTAGTGATGATCAAATTAAAGATACAAGTTACAAATGATGAAAGAGCATTTTTAGTAGGTATACAAATCAGTATTTTATTAACAAAGTTTAAAATTATCGATCTCGCGGGTAATATCAAAATAGACGAAAACCTGCGCATCTACGGTATATAGCAGAAAGCTTTTAGTGAAAATTTGAAGTCTCTAACTATTGTAATTGCTGAGATCTTATCCGGACAGCCAGCCATAAGCCCATAACGAATATAATAGCGTATTTTTTTTTCAAAAACGTGCTAAAAATGTAATAAAGTTATATCAATATTAGGTACTCGTCGTTACCTCACACCGAATTTGTGGAACACGAAATTGTTATAATACCAGTAATTTATCATAATCCTCGTCGCCACTTTAGCAATGTATTAACTACTGTCACACACAGCAAGCTACATTAGAACTACCATCAATATATCACAATATTACTTAAACCCCTATAGACAAATTTCCTTTTACGAGGTATCTTCAGCCGTGCATTTTTTGCAAAACACACGTGCTTTGAATTTGAATGAGCATATACGAGCTGTTATAAACAATTGCTTCTAGGAGGTATATTTCAAAGCAGATATTAACATTTTCTGCCTGTAATATTATGATAGACAACATGAAACATATATTAAACGGATTTTTCAAAAAATTCGCCACATTTGAACAGTTTCAAATCTGATTTTCTGTATTTCCGCATTCCAAAAATACGGTTTGATTGTATAACATTTAAACTTCTAGTTTGACGTTATTCTTTAAGAAGTGTACCTATAGTAATTTTATCCAAATATTGGCTTTTTGTCTGTATTTTACCCATTAAGTACTTATTAAAAAATCATTCGTAAATACCAATACATAATATGCGGTAATAACGTGGGAAATACATAATTGGTCAACACTACGCTTACACTTACTACATGATCGAAATTGCAATTCCTGGATAAGTTATGTTTAATTTGTTATGCAAATTTTGAAAATACAAAAACAATTGAACTGTGATTGTTACCTACATTAAATAGATTTACATACAATGTTTGACATGTGAACATTGTCCCTTCCGTCGATTGTTTAAAATATTCAAATGCTCTCAATTTTGTCGGAAATTTTGCGGACATAACTTCAAGTATAAACACTGCATAATTAAAAATTTGAATCTGGTGCATATGAGGTGAGGACAAATGTGGACCTATCAAAGAACTCTCGCCATCTCAACGACCAATAGATGAAAAGTATAATGGTCTGACTATTGAGGTTCTCGATTCTTTCATCTCACAATCAATCGAATTTTAAACAAGCCAGAGTTTTAATGAGGTAATTTAGTGAAATAGTTAGTGTTTATAAGACTTCTCGGTAAATCTATAAGTTAGGCACGTTTGATGTAGGGTTTGTAAACAAATGGATTATCTACGATATGCAATAAAAAAATGGAATTGTATTTACGTCGAGTGACGGCGACGGATCGTGAGCCCCACCCCACTCCATTCTAATATAAAACGGAACGTAAGGCTTTAATGATATTCTGTTGTACTCGAATGTAAGTCGCGTTCGTTTCGGTGTCAGTTTTTGCCAATTTATTTGTTTAAATTCCTATTAGGCGCGAGAAATTATGAATAACTACAGTGATAATATTAGTAACAATGTGGAGGAGTCCAGGTTAGTCAATTTGAACCTTATTAAGTGCATTAAAGGGCGGAAGACATTCTAATAGTTCGTTTTGTAATCTTTTTCATTTGCTATTTTATTTATTTATTACTCTAGGTAAAGTAAATTGCGCGGTGAAAGCGAAATTTGCACTTTTAAGTTTGCAAAACGTAGGTGTATTCGATTCGCCTAATTTTTTTATTGGTTCGTTTAATACGGTAATACTTCTAGGGATTCCTGGTATCCTAATTTTGATTTATAAGCACCAAAACAATGAGAATAAAGCTGACGTCACTGGAGTTCCCGATAGTCAATAGTCACCTACGAAATGTAAAAAAAACACATTTTTGGCGCGTAGCTTGCTGAGAAATTCTTAAAACAATAATTATTAGAAATTCTTCCTCATTAGAAATGTTATACAATAGTAAAGTAGGTCACTCGCTTAAAATTAGGTAATCTTAGCCCCTTAGGATACTAGTTATAGTAGTGCTGAAGACGCCACGCGAGGAATTTCAACCAGCCTTTACCTTCAGTTTCAATATTTTAACTCGTTAACATTGTCCGCATTCTTTAAACGCATTTTCCTGTTGTTGCAGATGCTACTTTCGCCGTTTGGGTTTGCACGACAACTCCGAATTTTCAAATCAAAGCATCATCACGGCAATCAGTGAATTGGTAAAATCGATAACGACAATGGACGAAACAATTCTTGTACCTTGTCGTCTGATGGACCTAAAAGTTGGTGACGAACAGGATCGCATAGCGCCGAAGAAGCACAATTTGAAGAATAAAAACGACGTTCAAGAAATTCTGAGTTCAACCGATTTGTTCGACGTTTATAACATGCTTAACAGTATTAAAGCGGATTTGTTATGGGGGCAAAACATGGAGCACGATACAAGTAGTAAGACCGAAACACCCAATACGCAATTAACAGTTTGTAAAGGCCACATCAGAAGACCGTCGACCGTCAGTGTGACATCAACAAATTCATCCGCCTCGATAATTAGCGATTCCGAGTCGGAGACTGGAAATGAGAACGACTCTGGAATTGAAGAACCACCTCAAGTGCAAAATCAAACTGCGTTACTTGCACAAAACTTTAGAAGGCATTTGAAAGGTCTCACCCGATGCATACGCCAAATGAGTGACGCTACACAATACCTCACTTTACGTTACCAGCACGATATTGGAAATCCTCTTTGATTTTAGTGCAAAACTGTGAGAATGTGTGAATGGCTGTAGATATATTTAAGAGTTATTTAATTGTTTACTTTATTCCTAACGGTCGGCGAAGGCAGATCAAATCTTTAGTAAATTGAATAAGTATTTGTTACTTATATTTATTTTTAAGAGTATAGTTTCTCTGTACCTTGAAGTGTCGAATGTTATTAGGTAATTTAATAAAGCTTATATATTTGACTTCGCTTTTACTTACCCTCGTCGCGCATCTCTTTTCAGGGTGTAGAGTTTGCACTTGCGCATTTAAAGTGTACAATCGATCTCGAAGGGTAACTCTTCCTTTCTATCAAATATATTTAGAGAAACAGTATTCACACGCAGTGTGATACAAAAACCTCAGTGGCAGATTTTAGACACGCCGCAAACTCCCGTAGTCGCGTCGCGTGTTTTACATTTTCACATAATTTGTGGTGTGAAACGGCCGAAATATCAACTGATTTTCATTAAAAGGTACATTTTCGGTGCATCCCTAATTGGTCAGTTACTGGCATGTGTATGTCCATCATTTATGCGGCTCGACTCGTAGAAATATATTACATTTAGTCTAGAATGTAGAGATATAGATGTTACGAAGGTCTTTAGATTGTGTATGGTAGATTCGCATATTATTTGCCTATCATTCAAAAATGCCTCAAAATTCGCCAACACCTGCAGATGTTATACGATTGGAACCTGTAGGGAGATACAAGCAGACGCAAAACGGAAACATTCACACTTCAGGTACTGTTTAGTTCTCGTTCTATGTACTACCAACGTCCACTCAACCGCCTCGCGGAAGATTCGGACAAACCGCCGCTTTACAATTTAATCAATTGAGTCCCTTTCGTGCATGCATCTCTTTCGGTGATACCCAGCACGTGGATAGATCCGCGTAAACCAATCCAAATGCATGATTTAGAAAGACGGCCATCCATTATTGAGCTTTCTCCCGCTTTCACAATACACATGCGTCGAGGAAAATCCATTAGCGCGATGTACTACGGACACAGTTTTGGTTTCACGGAATGATGGCGGATTAAAGCTTGGCGTGATACGTTTCCTAATTCTTTAAACTTGACCGAAATGAGCGCTATAACAAAACCTTGCACAAAATATAAAATTAAGCATTCATTCGAAGCCGTTTAGACTGATTCAGTTCCATTTTTGAAAAGGTAACGTGCGGTAATTATGTAATTTGTTTTCATTTCGAATAACGTATCAGTGTGGCGGTTTAGTTACCAAAATTATTTCAGAATTAATATAACGTCGCGACTGTGGAGGGTAAGAATAGGAACCATTTAATAAAAGTATCCATTGTAACTGGACCACGCGACGTCGAGGCAGTTGTTTGGAGACGTGGTCAATCAGTAATGAGCGATCAAGATGTTGACGATGTTGCATTTCTTACAGGTACTCATTACACAACACAGATCACTCATTCCATCTGTCAATCATCATCACTCGTTTATAACGCCTGTGACTTAGGCGGTGTTACAGGAACCGAAAGTCCCGCTGGTCCGACCAAAAAGAGCCTTTACGAAAACAATGGAGTTGCCGCCTGCTCCCAAAAAAGAGCCCTATGCATCGCCACAGTTGTTTTTGCAATATTCTTTACTGCTTCTGTTATTATCGCCTACACTGGTCCGCAAAGTGGTACGACACCCTAAACGTCCTTTGCATCCCTTTTCAACCATCTATGTTTCAGAGTGCACTTGTGCGGGCAATAAGCCGCCAAATTATGTGGACGATGAGTGGAACGAAACCAAAATGCTGGTTCCGCGTGCTACAAATGGCCAAATTTTTCCATGGAACAATATTCGTCTTCCTACTTTTATAACTCCAACACGATATAACATAACGATGCATCCAAATTTAACGACGCTTGAAGTGAAAGGTAACGGTAGCTCATTTTCAAATTTCCTACCAAATAACCATTGTCACGCCTTATCCGTATTCGAAAATGCGTATAGGTAAATGGTTGCGAAGATCTACGGTATAGCTGTCGGTTAGCCAAATCTGGACCATCAAATTTGCAATGTTTTCAATACTCTAGTTTTGAATAAAGTCAAATTTTGGTTTCATAAAGTGTTTCAGATCAAGAAAAATTGTAACTTTAACCACACATCGTATCATTTCGTGTTTGCTGTACTCAGAGAACAATATTGGCACAGCTGTGTGGTGTTTATGTTTACATCTGCGATACTGGGTTATCCTGTCATATCCTCATTACAGAAAGTGCAATTTTATGTAACAGTTGATAGTTACGGCAAAAGTTTTTTTAGATAGAATTACAACCTGGATGAATCAGTATAATTAAACGACGTATACCCAGGTATTTGTGAAAAAGTGGTTTTGAAAGAGTATAATGGTTTGCAAACGATTTGCGAAAATGCGCATGTTCATACAGACAGACTTTTTGTATACTTATATGTCGAATGATAAAATGACAATCAGTATTTACCTACTATTTGTAATGGTATGACTGTTAATGCTAAAAGATAGCAATATCAAACTGGCTTTATATTTTTTAACCAATCCATTGCTGCAGTTGTCAATGCATCAATCCATGGTCACCATTAAACTTAGTTTCAGGACATTCACTCACTATACGATTAATTGTCTCGGGGGGGTGTGAATGCAATGAGGACAATTTGGTGATGCTATGAATTTCCATTTAAACAAACATTTAAACAACAGCCCCCATGTCCAGTTGTTAAACGATTTAGTTTGCACCGCATGGTTCTAGGTAAAGAAAACCAGGGTCTTCAATAAGATCTTTATTGAAATCCTTAACGGTTGACCATTCTTCATCCCATTCAGGGCCTCAGTCAGAGGGGGGCAAGGGCGAGCTTTGGTCGCTCTTGGGGCACACTTTGTCCGCTCTTGAAAATTGTTTAAACTCAAAAATGATCAAATATATAGAAATGTGCTTGATATTCGGAATTATGGTAACTATTGAAATTGCACATATTTCACGTTTGTGTATAAGTTATTTTGTCTGTACAGGGTGTCCAAATTCGTTGGTTAGTGTTGGGTAGATAGTAGGTATGAGCAAAAGTTACCTTCTTTCGATTTTTAGATAAAAGCCTATAGTTTCTTTGTTTATTAACTTATCGGAAATGTGTATTACATATAATTGTTGCACAATCTACCGTTTTGAAAATAAGTATACGGGATCAAGTAAAAAAGTTATAGGAACTAACTTCATTTTTTTAAATGGAAGACCCTATATATTTTACTCTAACAGACAGCATATTAAATTCTCTTTTCAAAGGTACTTATAGCACACCAGGGATGAGATTTAAAAAGATTAAAAAAATTACAAAAAAAACGGTAGGTTATGCAACAATATACTTGTTATAAGATTATTTATCTAAAATTCGAAAACTGCAACTTTTGCCCATAACTTAAAAACAAAAGACTGTAGGCCAGTTTCGTTTTTAACATCGAGTTCATCTATCGAACATATTTCCTGGAAAATAAAAAATATGTTATATAGGTATTCTTGCACAATTAGGACATTGTGCGCTAGTGCACCATCCTGTTGAAACCAACAGTTTCCAACTGTTTTTTTGTGAGCCATACGTCGTTGTATATGCAATAAAAAATACTACCCAATACAGTATGTACTTTTTTGCGGGCGTATAAAAAAATAAAGTTTACGATGATTTCAACGTTCTACTGAAAATCTCGCAACGCTATCTTGTAAAGCTGAAATAGTGGCAATGAGAAAGTGTTTTCTATTTTTTTGTATCTGTTCAAATAACGTAAGAAAAAAAACGAAATCGACAAATTTGGGTTTTTCTGCCATAACTTCGAAAGTAATCGGAAAATTCCGGTTTTCTTAGCACATGATAACTTGAACATCGTCGTATCTTCTATGGTTTCGAAGATCCCCATGATAGTTTGCCGTATTATTGACCGAAATGGCACTTCCTAAACATAAAATTATTTTTTCCCAATGGTCACGGCCCTCTTGGATTTAAAAAAGTAAAAATGTGCTTGTTCAGACCAATCATGCTCAGATTCCAAATCATCAAAACGAGATTCAAAAATGTTTGGTCACTTACACGTATAGTGAACTCATTCTACAAATGATCTCCCACTTTTATGACAGGCATCTGCGTTTTGGATACCTAGGAACCCAGATGTCAATGATCATCAGTCCGCCTGTCTGTGCACTCATTTCCTGCCAAACCGCTGAACCGAAGGTAACTAAAGTTGGCACATGTGTTCTTAGGGGAAGGTATTATGCCATGGTATTTTGTAGTTCAGCATCAATTTTATTTGCGTGCCTAACTATTCATCCAAACCATACAACAATATTAAGCAGAAATGAACTAACCAATTTAACCCAGAATTTCCTTAAAGTTTTAAAAAATCTAGAAGCCCTGTTAGGCATTTAATTAATTCCATACGAGCTTTCCGTAAAGATTGTATAGGTACCTATAATTAAATTAGCATTTTATTCCTTTGAATTATGTATATATTTTTTAAAGTTTATTTGTTTCACTTGACTAACCAGGAATAGTCGATATAACCTGGGAATTTATTTTTTGACTGATGCGCTTTTCACAACAACAACAAATCTGTCATAGTACCAGCGGTATAACGGAAATTCTTGAAAGATACTGCATTTTTTTATACCAAGGTGCCACTTGGTACAGTTGTTCCTTAGAGCCATTTAAACGATTTGACCCGAAGAACACTTGACATTTTCCGTGTGGGTAGATTTTAGAGGGGTTGGGGGTGATTTATTGTAACATTTTTTAAAAAAAACTAAATATGGCCTAGAGACGAGATCTGGAAGTCCGTGAAAAGCCGCCATTTTTAGAAAATGACAGACTTTTGATCGAATTATATTTTAAAGGCACACCGGGTCGTGTAAGGTATCTACACTTATGTTTTTGGGGTCAGGGAATTCATTTATGATAACAAATATAACCTACTGGCATCGGAACTGCATGAGAGGCTTCCCTACTGCACTTTTTGAAGACGTCGTACGCGATGAAACCCAAGATATTCCAAAGTTTTAATATATAAACTTATATTATTTTATTTAATAAAAATACACATTAACAAAACATAAGATATATTAAAACATGGGGTAAAAAATGTATAAGCCTATGAAGAATCACCAAGTACATTGCTGACCTCCTCTGAGATTGCGTTATCACCACTGAAAAGGAATTTTACATATAAATATTAAAGGTTCGGTAGTAAATTATATCGAAAGTATACAATATTCTTACCCTTTGTTTGAGCAATCTCCCATACATTTTTGGCATGCAGGGGAACATGGTAATCCGTGTCGCCGCAGCAAGAGGTGGAGGAGCACATAAGGAGGGCGGCGTATGTCGCTGGCCATATCTGGGGATGTGCAAACCAGGTGATGAGAAGCTCTACAAGTCCAGAAGGATGGGGATGGACTCTTGAAGCCAAAGGCTGGAAGGTTCTGTAGTCCAAGCTGCCACAAGTATGGAAGGCAGTCCGTGCTCTGGACAGGTGCTGGCTGCGAGACCCTTCGGTGCAACTGCCGGCGACACGGATTGCCATGTTCCCCTGCATGCCAAAAATGTATGGGAGATTGCTCAAACAAAGGGTAAGAATATTGTATACTTTCGGATATACCTAATTTACTACCGAACCTTTAATATTTATACCGGGTGAATATTCCCAAAATGAACATAGGGAATTAACATGGGAAAAGGGGTTTTTGTAGATAGTTGCTCCCCATGTTAACTTAGAGGGTTGATCATGACACCAATCGAAAGAAGATTTTTTTCCTCGTCTAATGATATACGAATTAGTTCATTTTCAGGTGTATTTCTCACTGTATTATCAAAAACTCGAGAAATCCACTTACCAAAATCATGTTTAGCCATGCCCATGACTAAGACGAAAAGCAGATTCACACGTCGAAATCAATATCAGTTTATGACACCTAGCATTAATTTTTTTGTAAAATGCGGTTCACTGAGGAAAAAGTATTTATAATAAATAACGTTTACAGCGGAAATATTTACTCTAGTACGCGATATTTGTTTTCCGTGCATGTGAAAATTAGATGAGAAAAAAATCTTCTTTTGATTGGTGTCATTACAAACCCTCTACGTTAACATGGGGAGCAACGATCGGCAAAAAACGTTTTTCGCATGTTAATTTCCTACGTTCGGTTTTAAAATATTCGCCCGGTATGTGAAATTCCTTTTCAGTGGTGATAACGCAATCTCAGAGGAGGTCAGCGATGTACTTGGTGATCCTTCATAGGCTTATAAATTTTTTACCCCATGTTTTAATATATTTTATGTTTTGTTAATGTGTATTTTTATTAAATAAAATAATATAAGTTTATATATTAAAACTTTGGAATATCTTGGATTTCACCGCGTGCGACGTCTTCAAAAAGTGCAGTAGGGAAGCCTCTCATGCAGTTCCGATGCCAGTAGGTTATTTTTGTTATCATAAATGAATTCCCTGACCCCAAAAACATAACTCTAGACACCTTACACGACCCGGTGTGCCTTAGAAATTTAATTCGATCAAAAGTCTGTCATTTTCTCAAAATGGCGGCTTTTCACGGAGTTCCTGTATCCGGATTACATTTCTGGCGCTACCATTGGATTCCTCGGGTTAAAATCATACGAAATCGACACCCAGATCTCGTCTCTAGGCCATATTTAGTTTTTAAAATAATGTTACAATAAATCACCCCCACCCCCTCTAAAATCTACTCACACGGAAAATGTCAAGTGTTCTTCGGGCCAAATCGTCTAAATGGTTCTAAGGAACAACTGTACCAAGTGGCACCTTGGTATAAGAAAATGCAGTATCTTTTGGTATACCGCTAGTACTATCATAATTACCGGTAATAGGAGGAAACCAGCGCACACTGCTTTCTAATTGTTTGGTAAATTTACTCCAATTAGCGTTTTCTAAGTTCCATCGTGCTTTTGCAAGCGAATTTTGGTTGAAAAATCACTATACCCACTCCGGAGCATAGAATTGAAACAACTTTACACGGAAATATTCGCATAAATCGCAATACATATTTGAATAATGTTGCCAGTTCTATTCGATGGAATCTTAATTTTTTCGGAAATTTTCAAATAACCTCACGCGTTGGAGCATAATATCTCGGAATCTGGTCCCATACAAAAAATGAATATGCGTAATGAAATGGGCATAATTTAATGTTCTACATGTTTTATGTATAAACATTTTTTTAATCCAAATTTCATCTCTCTATCACATTTTGTAAGCAGACGCCTCTTTTTTCCTATCCATTGTTGAGACTATGTTCCAGACAATATCATATAGGAGTATAAGTGAACCCTCAACTAATGCCAAGCGCAATAATCAATAATAATGCGCCGTATTACTCTAAAAGAATTGGTAATTTAGTAGAATAAATCAGAAATGTAGAAAAATTTAGTGAACGTTATGCAAGGCGTTTATTTTCACCCCTTTACGCTTTAGGTCGTGTAATGACGTACCACATACCACCCCAGATGCAATTATTTTTTTTAAGATTGGCCACTCCACCTTAGATGATGGTACACGTACAACAAAATGAAAATAAACTTAAATCGGGTCCCCCTTCAAAACAATTTGATCGCGACGACGCGACGTAACATTTTGTTGTTAACTTAATCTTAGATCACATTTACATCATATTGAATGAAAAGCAATGATTGCATAAAAAATCCGATACAACAGCATATATGCGTATCACTTTTCAAAGCGATCAGGCGATTCTAAACAAAGTTATTGTGCACACGGACAGACAGACAGACAGGCAGACAGACAGCAATACAAAATTAAAAACGATCTTGAGGTCGAACAATAAAGTTTGAGAGTGCTTTTGCCAACAAATAACATGCTTTTCTTGGTTTTTGTCTCGGGACAAGGGTTGGAGGATATATTCTGAAGAAAAAGGATAATCATTTACATAATCGGTTATTTAAACCCATTTAAACGTGTTTATGTTCCTAGCGGTTGAGGGTATTGTTGTTCGGGTTGGGGGTGAAGTTAAAATCAAACAGGAGATTGTAGGTTTACAACCGCACAAAGCCATAAATAGGTACCCCGCTGTGCGTTATATTATTTTTAGTTTAGAGGGATTTAAGGTTCCGCTAATTTTTTCTTAGACAAAAACAATGATAACGCACATCACTTCCTTTGCAAATTTGTAGATTTAGCACATTTGTAGCATTTCAAATGAAATTTAATATCATAACATGCGTTATGCTTATGTCTTTTCATCAGTAATGCTAGAAGCCAGTACACTACAAGGCCGGCCGCGAAGAGTCAAGGCTCTCGAGACACAGCAAGTTGCAACTTTGCAAATTCTTGCACTAAACTACCACTTCTTTCATTATGTAATAAAAATAATGACTTTACGTACCCTTTCGGTTCTTTGGGTTTTCGGCCGGTTTTGTATGGCATGGCAGATATAGAATCAGAAAAAAAAACATTCGGCAGCCGGCACTTTCGGTGTACATCAGCAACCGGAAGTGGAAGATACACATGTCGAATGTCATTCTAAAGGTCTTTTCATGACTCTCAAAATTGTACTGAGGAAAAAAAATGGTAAAAGTTCGAGTTTCTGAGAAAAATCTCAAACTGTCAATTTTCATGGGTTCAAACCCTTATAAAGTGAAAATTGTTTGTATCACGTTTTATACGTTTTGGAATTTTGTGCTAAACAAATAAAGACCCTCGTAAAGACCTCAAGCTTCATGGTCATTTCGTTGTCGGTTTCCCAATACTGTACAAGTAAATATATGTGGACTGTAGGTTATCAAGATAAAGTTACAGCAGCACCCTCAGCCTATTGGAAATTAGGCAGTTTACAGAACGCAAGGGTTGAGAAGTATCGATATCCGTTGAGGGAGTATTTTTGTAGCATTTTAATCTAAACTCTAAATGTCTCGGACAGTGTTTTAAGGGTAGGTACTGAAATACTTATTTAAAAAAATACGTTTCCCAAACCATCATCAAGAATTTTAAAAATCATCCCTGTATTCCTCCCCCCCCCCCCCCCCCTTATTTTAAAAATTTATTTCATAGGTACGACAATTACCTATATGAATTCTACAGCTTATCGAGACCTTTGGACTTTGAGAAAAGGGGGGGTTCAGGACTCTAATTCTAGCTGAAAATTAGGAAGTTATTCGGATAAGAGGCTATCATCATTAACAATATCATGATAAACCGTAACAATTTTCAAATGTTTACAATTACTTCCTATTTTTTACGAATATTTTATTGTTCTTAACTGTCTTGTACAATAATTCCAGTACTTAGTATCATTGAATATGAGATGGATATTCAATGTTAGTATGCTTGTGACGTTGACTTTACTTGCCGAACATCAATCTGGTGCTACGAATAACGAGAGGATACAGTTGCAAACAGGGATGGACGGAGCGGTTTCTTAAAGGGGGGGAATGTTAACAATTTTCTAACTTTCGAAATGCCAAATGCCAACAGATAATCGTACGCTAAAGAAACGCCACAATAATGATACTTCTTTTAAATTACGTTTTAATAGTATTAAATTTACCATCTGTGGAAAGTTGCCATCTTCGTCACTCTTCCTAAAGTTTTTGTGATATCTAATAAAAGCATTAATTACGTCTATTTAAATGATATTTCTTTTTCCTCTTTTACCATACCATTGCATTTTTCTTTATTAACGAGCTCCTAGCGAGTGCATGATTTTGGACTTTCTGCCCGGTCGTCCGTCCGTCTGTGGACAAGATAACTCCCGAACGGTTTCGAATTTTCCAATTATGTTTTCTGTATTTTCTTTATCATCACCCAGAATCTCGTTTGCTATGTTTGTAATAAGTTTATTAACGAGCGACAAAAAGCGAGTTTATGATTTTGGTCTTTATGTACGTCCGCGTTTCTCATAAGTTTAAGTGTACCTATACCATGGCCAAACATAGAAACTATGTTTAAATCACCACCTTATTTTTTGTATAATAAAATTACATTTCGAACAGATGTCCATATTAATGTTCGTCGGCAAAACTTGATTGTCATTCATAACCATAATTTAGAACTACCTATCTAAAAAATCATTTTCATAATATAATATACCCAGCATCTATAGATTAACATCTAAATTTAAACAAATAATTTACCACGATTTCTTAAGATCTTAGTTACTGAGTATAGACTCATAATCAAAGGTTACTAGACTGCTTTAAAGTTACTCGAATCCTTCATTTCTTTTGCTCTATTTTTAATTTTTTTAAGTGTGTTAGTGAACTATGCATAATTTTAGTTCTGTTTGTACCTATATTTATTGTAACGTGTCCACGTCATTATTGTTATTAAAGGTTTTCCATTAATTTTCATTGCCTATGCCTCTCAGTTGTGATCCTAGATACCAATTTCGTTGCGTAAACAGTCAAACGCATCGCTTTTATGGAAACGAAGCAATTTGCTTAGTGTCCAGAGGTATTTTATTATAATATGAAGTTTGAAAATGGGCTACTTATACATCGTTTAGCATTTTGAAGGATCAAATCGAGATTACTGTTAAAGATAATTATTTATTAATAGGATATATAACTGTCAATCGTTTCAGGTCAAGTTTCGATAGAATTTCAAGTAGAAAAAGATACAAATTTTTTGGTCCTTCATAGTAAAAATTTAACTATTACTGATAAGGTAAGATTGAACAGGGTACATTTGCTCCGGTATTGATACTTAAATCATTTCAGATAGTACAAGATAAAAAAGGACATCCCATAAGGATTTCAAGACTTTTGGAATATTTAGAAGGGCAGCAAATTTATATCGAAATTAAAGAGAAGTTTAGAAAAAAACACAATTATACATTAAATATACGATATACAACAAAATTAAATCGAGATTTCGAAGGATTTTATATATCTAGTTATATTAACAATGGGGAGAGGAGGTAAATGGTATTTGGTTTTGGCAATTAATACAGTCAGGTACTTTTAGGTACTTGGCGACGACGCACTTTGAACCTACGCACGCACGGTCCGCGTTTCCCTGTTTCGATGAACCGCACTTCAAAGCTAGATTTAAAATGTCAATTTTTCGTGACAGATTTCACATAGCGTTATTTAATATGCCCGTAATAAATACTGAAGATGTCGGATTTTATATGGGAACTGGACTTGTACGTTTTGTCCCCCACGTTTTTATACCTATTAACACAATTTTTTTAGCTACGTGATGACTTCCAAGAATCGGTAGAAATGAGTACATATTTAGTGGCATTCGTAATATGCGATTATGTACATCAAAATAAACAAACAGAACGAGGCATATCGGTTTCGGTATATGCACCTCCGCCTTATATCTCTCAAGCGTCTTTTGCACTCGAAACTGCTGTCAATGTCATGGATTACTTTGAGGATTTTTTTAGAGTAGCCTACCCTTTACCGAAGCAAGGTAGGTGAATCCGTTTCAATGCATAAAGAAATTAACAGCAGACTTCTTGCAGATTTGATCGCCATACCAGATTTCGTCTCCGGTGCCATGGAGAATTGGGGTCTTATCACTTACCGCGAAACTTCCATACTGTATGATCCCAATGAGACATCAACCTCGGCTCATCAATGGGTGGCCATTGTAGTAGCACACGAACTAGCGCATCAGGTTTGAAATGCGACTTTCTCTGTTTGTCACTTTCCTCACTAATTTTTAGTGGTTTGGTAATTTGGTCACTATGAGATGGTGGAACGATCTTTGGTTAAATGAGGGATTTGCCAGTTTTTTAGAATACGTGGGTGTGGATAACTTAAAACCGGAATGGAACATGATGGACCAATTCATTTTAGATAAAACACAACCGGCGTTGGCACTTGATGCTTTAGCCAGCAGTCACCCCATTTCGGTAGCTATCCAAGATCCTAGTGAAATTGAAGCGATTTTTGACACGATTTCTTATAGTAAAGTAAATAACTTACTTTTTCCGTGCAAACCCTCTGATGGGAAATTGTTTTATAGGGTGCTGCGATATTGCACATGCTGGCAAAGTTCTTGCAGTTGGACACCTTACAAAACGGCTTGAACGAGTATTTAACTACATTCAAATACAGTAACGCGGATACAAAGGATTTGTGGAACGTTTTCAGTAAACACACAAACCAATCTTTGGAAGTGAAGGTTTGATGCACAATAACCCAAACAGTTTGAATGATGTTGAATCTTTAGGTTATTATGGATACTTGGACGAATCAAATGGGCTTTCCACTAGTGACACTTGTGAGAGAAGAAGATGAAATCCTCGCCACTCAAGACAGATTTTTACTAACAACCGAAAGTGTCAATAGTTCCGTACGATCGATGCCGAAGTCTAAATTTGACTATAAATGGTTCGTACCTCTTACATATTTTACTAGCAAGTACCCGGAAGAGGTTCATACAGTTTGGATGAACATGAGCGATGGTTAGACGGTAAGATATTACGCTTCCTTGTAAACTAACGCGAAATATGTTTTTTAGTGCGAATCGAAGTTGATAGCGATGTGAAATGGATTAAAGCTAACATTAATCAATCTGGGTTCTATCGAGTTATGTACGATGAAACCATGTGGACCAATATTATTGCGGACTTACGAAGCAACCATACCATATTCAATCCAGCAGATAGAGCAAGCCTGATCGACGATGCCTTCACTCTAAGTCGGTTCGTTAGAACGTACTTATTTCTACCGTTAATATTTTACCTTTGGTATTTGCAGGGCGGGATTGTTAAATGCCAGCATACCTTTAGATTTATCCTTATATCTAATAAAAGAAAAAGACTATGTACCTTGGGCTACTGCAATTAAACATTTTCAGGCGTGGAGCCGACGACTATCTGAATCGTTGGCTTACAAACTATTTTTGAAGTATATGAGGAAGCTATTAACTCCGGTTACGAAACTGGTGGGATGGGGAAGTCAAGGATCACATTTAGAAAGGTAGCTATATGGTTTTGGGACCCTATTTAATAGAATAAAGTTAACTATTACGTTCTAATAGTATGTCCTGTACTCACAAATAGTTAATCTATATGATCTATACTGTAGCGTCCAAACTCTAAACTATCAATGTACCTTAATATACCCAAAGTCGTTCCATTGTAGTACCTCTGTCATTTTTGGAAAATACGATACCGGAAGATTACGACCAGAAATGACAATACATTCTAAAATGATACACCCCGTATATTTTTACATTTTCGGATTATACACACAATTTTCCACCTGATACGTCATTTTCGATAAGTTTACGAGGTTGATCAACATTTGAATTAATAATCAAACATTATGCTAACATAACAAAAAATAAAAAAATGCATAAAATGGAGATAAATGTAGTAATATAGTTAGTGAAAATTTAATTATTTTTTTCGACCAACCTGGTATAACTTGCTATTCGTCTTTACTCATGATATCACCCCCAAAAATGTCATATAGGTATTCATAACGTGCCAAAACAACAGGGGTGACCCTAGTTTGGTTTCCGCCCTGTATACCTATGCATCTGAACTGTGCTAGTTCGGTACATCAATACTAACGCAGCAATAAACAACATAATCCGAACATCTCCAATCGAGTGACATTTTACATTATGAATTGTGCTCATTTTGCGACACCTTCCACGTTTTGTGAAACAGTGGTTTGAATAATGGAAATGAAAAGGAAGACAGACAAATGTAATGCAATGTTCCAACTTTCTTTTTGAGAAATGCGATAAAAAGGAAGGGACCAACACTTTTTTTTTAAATAATCCAAGTGGCAAAAATGTGTGGTTTTCAGAGATATCTTCACAAAATTTCAAAATTCGCAGCATTCCAAAATTCCGACCCCATCAAGAACTCCACACAAAGGTGGAACAAAGCTAGGCAGTATCTGGGTGTTTTCAAGGAAATACCAAATTAGTTTATAAAATTCGAAAAAAAATCCCTACCCGTTGTATGGTAGTATTGACGTATTTATAAAAAATGCAGTTCTTTAAATATACTCGAATTGTCGGTCCAAGATTCGCGTCCCTTAAATTTTTTTTTAATTTAATGTATAGCAAATAGACCTACAAAGCACGAAAACTGACCGCAGTGGTTGAAGTGGCAGAAAAGGGTACGACTTTTGGCCCATGCGATATTTCATATAACTTTATATTCAAAGATATAACCTAATTACTTTGAAGATAAACTTTACGATTTTTAGCCGTATGCGTATGATGCATGGTAGGTAATATAATCAAGATTTTTAAATTCACGTTCTCATTTGATACCTACCATGGTTTTTGAAATTGTAATTGTAGATTCCACTCTACATACCCATGTGCCAGATTAATACGTTATATTGTGAACACAATCCAATACCAGCCACTACAATTTCACCAATGCAAAATTTTTCAGACTATTGCGAACAGATGTATTATCTACTGCAATACTTTGTGAATTGAATGAAACGGTATTTCAAGCAAAATCACAATTTGAAAAGTGGATGCACAGGAACCAGTCCATTCCGGCCGATCTAAAAGAAGTAGTATATTCGGCCGGTGTGAAGTACGGAGGTCTGGGTGAATGGCAACACTGCTGGAATGTGTACAATTCAACAATTGTCCCCAGTGAGCGAAAACTATTTTTGAAGGCGCTTGGTGTTGCGTCAGATCCCTGGCTTTTGCAAAGGTAAATATGGTGATTACAAATTTGCAAGTAATTTTTGGGTTACAGGTATCTTTTGGAAACATTGCATCCGAATAGAATTAAGCCACAAGACGTAAAAATTGTACTAACGGTAGTTGCGGCAAATCCAGAAGGTAGATTGTTAGCTTGGAGGCATTTGAAAGCCTATTGGCCAAACATGCAGTCTTTATTCGGTAATGCAACATTTATGATGGGAAGTCTCATATCAGCTGTCACTGCACACTTATCAACCCCTTACGATTATTATGAGGTAAAAATCTTTCATCGGTGGAACGTGTATTTTACATTTGTCATAGGTATCTACGTATTTTAACGGGATGAATGTTGGTTCCGCTACCCGTGCGTTGGAGCAAAGTTTGGAAACGATCAAACTGAACATCAACTGGGTATCTCAAAATGAGGAAGACATCTATACGTGGCTTTTGAATTATCTCAAATAATTATCCGATATACGTACCTACTATTTTCTTATATAGTTCAGAATTATTTTTATAAAGTAGAAAGTAGGTAATGTCTTGTGTAAAAGTGAATGTGAGTGATTTGATATTTGTTTATTTTCATTTTACGGATTCTTCATAATCAATCATAATTTCCATAGCTTTTTATAAAAATCAAATGTATTTTTCTTATAAACTGGTACTAAAGTAATTAATATACAAAAACTGTCGTTGTTTCATTAAGTAGAGATATGGTTTCAGTAGATACCTACAGCGCCGTAAGTGATATAGGGTGGGATTTATTTTTACCAACAAATTAGAGGGGAACGCAGATAATATCAATTATCGAGGTAGGTCTGTAGCATGCAAATTTGGAGCACCTACTAGAATAGCATTGCGAAAACGTCGAAACGCATTAGTTCGATAGTCAAAAGTTATTTTCACTCATGTACTCTATTATTCTTAATTGAGATGACGACGGACTATAGACTTAAAAGTTTCCATGCCCAAACTCGAATGAGAATCAGGAACCCTGTTTCTTGTACCTCAGCATCTACTCAACTACGTCCAATTGGCCGGTTGCTCTAGAAAGAAAATGCATCTTTTTTTTAGAGAAAAAAGCAAATATACATCTATACGGTTTCCAATCAATTTATTTAAGCTTCAGCTCGCCAGCTTTCTACACCGCTGTGATTCTTCGGAACTTTAGGGGTGGATAATATCAAATGATGGTTTCCAGACAGTAATTACATCGCTCCGTCTGTGCTCGTTGTAGTTTTAAAGACAATTACGTGTAAATGTGACAAGGCATGCGATACAAATAAAAAAACTAGGGCATTCCATTTATAATAACGAAGTGTGTGTCAACCTGCGGTAAAATCGGAGTTAGAATAAGCTTAAATATTGTAGCATTTCTTACAATCAACTCAGTCGGACGCTGAAATCTGCCAAAGGAATGTTCGCTCAGTTTTTAAACAAAGCTCATCATTCATCTTTGGAAAGAGTGGCATAAAGAAGAAGAATTTGTATTTTGTTTTAAATAAAAAAGATAACAAACATTTAAAGCATAAGTTTTTATAGCCGCGTGATTTGTTTCTTAATTTCCTCTTGAGAGGATGTTTAGTTTTGTGTTATTTTTGAAACTTTTGATGTTCTTCGGTGCGAATACGCACGTTTTGAGTTTACAATATATGGGTTTTTTAATTCTCGAATCTCGCATTTATTGTACTTGTAGGCAGAGCTGGGCAGTATTCGATTTTGTAAATACTTTTTAGTATGCAAATCCTTTAAAGTATTCAAATACTTTGTAATTAAATACTTTTATGGAAGCAGTATTTGTATTTGTAACTCAAATACTTTCACAAATATTTAGTACTCGAATACTTCGCAAAGTATTTGGATACTTCGTAAAGTATTCGAATACTTCGCAAGGTATTTGAATACTTTGAGAAGTATTCGAATACTTCGCATAGTATTTGAATACTTAACCTTCCTTTTTTACCAAAAATCGACTACACCAAAATTTCTCGGGAAAACACTTTTTCTTATTAATTTGGGTGTGTAGAATCCAAATCAATTCGTACTTTTCCGATCAGACTTCTCAATCAAAAGTTATAGACTAGAAACCAATTTCGAAAAAAAATTCAAAGGGCTGTAACTTTTGAACTAGTAGCCCAATCTTGGAACTGCTTGAAATTATGGATTCTACAGGCCACATTCTATAAGAAAATTTTTTTCCGGGTCGATCTGAGACAATTTTTTCTTCGGGCCTCAAAAAAAGGCAGTGTATAACCTTATATGTGTACCTTCCGTTTTTGCCAAAAATCGACTACTCCAGAATTTCTCGGGAAAACACTTTTTCTTATTAATTTTGGTGCGTAGAATCCAAAACAATTCGTACTATTTCGATCAGACTTCTCAATAAAAAGTTATAGACTAGAAACCAATTTCGAAAGAAAATTCAAAGGGCTGTAACTTTTGAATTAGTAGCCCAATCTTGGAACTGTTTGAAATTATGGATTCTACAGGCTACATTCTATAAGAAGAATTTTTTTCCGGGTCGATCTGAGACAATTTTTTGGAGGGCCTCAAAAAAAGGCAGTGCATATAACCTTCCGTTTTTGCCAAAAATCGTTATAGACTAGAAACCAATTTCGAAAGAAAATTCCAAGGGCTGTAACTTTTGAACTAGTAGCCCAATCTTGGAACTGTTTGAAATTATGGATTCTACAGGCCACATCCTATAAGAAAATTTTTTCCGGGTCGATCTGAGATATTTTTTTTTCGGGCTTCAAAAAAAGCAGTGTATACCTAACCTTCCTTTTTTATCAAAAATCGACTGCACCAAAATTTGTCGGGAAAACACTTTTTCTTATTAATTTTGGTGCGTAGAATCCAAAACAATTCGTACGTTTTCGATTAGACTTCTCAATAAAAAGTTATAGACTAGAAACCAATTTCGAAAGAAAATTCAAAGAGCAGTAACTTTTGAACTAGTTGCCCAATCTTCAAACTGTTTGAAATTATGGATTCTACGGGTCAAATTCTATAAGAAAATATTTTTTCCCGGTCGATCTCAGACAATTTTTTTCCGGCCTCAAAAAAACGCAGTACTTTTAAGTTATTTAAATATTTGAGAACAATTTAGAAATGTTTAGGGAAAGTTTCCATTGTCACAAAATCAAATATAAAAATCCGATACAACTGAATACCGAACGATACTGGAGTGAAACTTTTTGACTCGATAGTCTACGTAACTTAAAAACAATAGGGACCTTTCTTATATCCTTAAGACCATGTGTACCAATTTTCAAAGCGATTGCACGTTTCTAAACAAACTATCATGCACACGGACAAACGGATGGTCAAAAATGGATCTTTTCCAAAAGCGCTAGGATTAATTTCAGAAAGGCGTACGTGTCATGTGCACGACGCTTTGAAAACTGGTACACGTATTCTTAAGGATATAACTGGTATAAGAAAGGTCCTGGTAGGTACCTCCTATATAATAATATAATAATAATATTACGCTTTTACTCCCCTTAAATTTGTATATAACAATAGAAATATAAAAAAGCTAACCCCATACAAAGTATAGGTAACTTGATTTTTTAAGTAGTATTAAGACTTTTATCTAGTATACTATTTTAAATTTTTAATGTATTTGAGTGACAAGTATTTGAATACTTTTCAAAGTATTCGAATACCTTTGATAGTATTAGAATACTTTTGAAAATATTCGAATACATTCTAAAATTCTAAAAAAAACGATTCCGCAAAGAAATGTACATTAAACTTTTGGACAAAGGACAGCATCACAAGATTATTTCGATAATGGCAGACTCAAAATCAGTTTTACAAACGCTCGGGAGTACCAAGTACATTTTAAAATGCGACCCGTAATAATATTCAAGATTAAAAAGAATATAACTCAATTAAGACACTTGGACATTCATGCAAATTTATACTGGAATAAAAGGGCACAGTAGTATTAAACGAAATGACAATGTAGATAATTTGGCCAAAAAATCTATTGTAGACGGAGCGGTAGATATGAATTATTTGATGGTCTGAGATTTAATAGCTAAACACCGCCATAACATCTATATAAAAATGACAAACAATGTGGGAATTGGGATCCATAACACACAGTATGGTTATATACATCGAAACGTGAAAATAAAGATAAAAACAGAAGATGGTTCTTCTCTTCCACCATTTTCAGTTTGAAATTAGGACACGGTTGCTATCCAGTGATCTCGGAAAAGGCAAAAAATCCATGTTGGAAAAATTGTGCTCACACACGACCTGGACGGACGACTCTAGTCACAAGGAGGCAGTAGGTACAATGGACCTAAACAATATGCAACCTAATTGCGCGTGAGCATCTGTTCACCTTTTCCTCTAAATCAAAATTCAGCCCTAGGTACAGGCATTGTTTAACTACTTTAACTTAAACAATGGTACAAGCTATATTCAAAGATGTATACCACAAAATATTCCTTCCTACACATTGCCCACTGTTGGAACGGTCTTTGGAAATTTCAGGAAAGAATAAACCCATAAAGGGAGTCTAAAAAAGCGGCAGAGCACCTCGGTTTGACCCCACGGAGCCAGCCATTTTCAATTGGCTTGTTACATGTGGTATATAAGTCTCTACTGTGCAAAGTTTGAACCGAATAGGTCCAAGCGTTTCACAGTTATGGTGTTCACGGACAGACGGACAGACGGACACCATCGACTCCCCTATAAAGCTTGCATCGCTTTGCTCTGCCGCTTAATAACCAGCATCAGCATTATGGTTATTCTTTCCTGTCTCTCCCCGAATATCATTGAAAGTAGAACTGTGTGAAATTTTCAAAGGCGATCAGTTATCCTTCGCAAAACAAAATCACGCTGAAGATAAGGGTCGTTACACCAGTGCGATGGAATGGGCGAATTACTATATTTTTACATTTACCCATGGCCCTTATGCCTCGCTTCTTACATACCCTCACGCAATGTATGCGTTTATTGCAAAGCGGCTTACGGGTGCAATTTATAATAATGAAAAATTCTCCCGCTATTTGAAAATCAAATCGCCCACAACTTGTTACATAAATGTAGCATGCGTATAATTGTGGATTTTTAAAAAACTGAAAAGAATTAAAGACGAATGCGCAGTCGTATAAAATCCAAAAGGTTTTCCGCCGACCTTCGCCGCTACTAATATATAACAGTAGGTAAATAGGTTCGGGTGTGTTTACGTTAATCGATTTTCATCGTCTCAGAAAATGGTGTGGAAAATCTACATATTACAGAGGGTATGTTATTTTTTTAATCGTCGGGGTTAATAGATAGATATTTCAAAATTGGGGTAGGCACCTAGTCATTGTTATACGCGATCGATATTATACCGCGCGTTTCATGTAACAAAATAATTATTGCATACTTAAAAAAACGATTCCTTGTTAAAAAATTTGTTCTTAAAAAATCCCAAAAAGCTCACGGATAGCAAAGTATGGGTGAATAGGTCAATTAACAAAAACTAGGCCTCTTACGTCCAGATTAGCTATTATTACATTAAAAAATCAAATTATTCATTAACTTCTTAACGTCGATTCTCCTTATTTATTTATATAGGAAGTCACTGAATAACTGAACGATGTGCTACTAAATGCAATTTACGTGATCGCGAAATGCATCAGGTGTTAAAGTTCAACACAAAAGGATGCTTTAATTTTGTGATGTAATCGCCTGTCGGGAACAATTAATGTATCCCCACACTTTCCAACAGGATGCAGTTTTGAAAATGATATAAATAGGATTTTTAAGGCAACTTTATATATAGGCATTAAGAAATTTTTAAGTGAAACGTGAATGTTTTAACTAAGCAACTGCTAGCATTCTCCCCATTATTAAAGCAGAAAATTGGAAAACCGCTCTTTTATTCTTGGGAGGAGATGGAATTTTATGAAACGCATAATATGCATCGCCATTCCATTCCAATACATATTTAGTTAAATCCCCAATTATAAAACTATGGGCTGTTAACAGATCATATATTTTATATTAAAACAGTTACCAACGGCACAGATTTTGTATTTAGGTAATCTGTGCCAACGGTGAAGTTTTACAGGGAAAATATAGGTAGGTATATCGCACGGAAAGACGAACGGACGGACACACAAACAACCGATTTGCCAACGAACTCGTCCAATCTTTAGACCTTAGCTACATCCGTTGCCGAAAAGAGATTCGAAAATTCGATCTCGAGTTATCGCACGGAAAGGGCGAATGGCTGTGAAAAGGTGAAAAGCGTGCCGCTTTCCGTTTCGAAGTACGGAAAAGTTATAATCAAGAAATGTTTGCAAAAATATTTACTGATTTACTCTTCACAACCAAAGACATTCACAACTGGAAGGCATGCAAGTAACCCCCCCCCCCCCCCCAAGAACCCAGCATCCCAAAGAATTAATCCATAGACGTAATTATTAAAACCCGACATTTTTTGACATTTCTTTTAGAGCCGATTTTTTCTGTTGTTGTTAACTATATGACGTTTAATTTCATGGACAATTTGCCTGTCATTTTGAGAAACAATTTAACAATTTGTGTTGAAATCAATCAGCGGAAGAAGCAATTTTTGCAAAAAAGGGAAATTTCCACATTTCGTGTTTCTTTCCAAAAAGTGAAATATATAACAGACTGCCTATCACTTTTTCAAACAGGGAAGTGAAAGAGGGACCTTTTCTATTTTCGTTTATCAAAAACTCAATTCTGTCTGTCATGTTAAAAAAAGAATTGCCTTGAAGTCAGTGAATGGAGAAATTTTAGAAGAAGTAGAGTACCTGAAATTAAATCACTGTTCTATAAAAAAATGTATAAGAAAGGTATGTCCACTTTTCATGATCCCTTTGTCAAAAAGTCGAATTTACGACAGCCTGCCTGACATTTTTAAAAACAAATTCGTGAAATTTGAAGCGTGTTTTATGTGATGGTTTTGTCCGCCTATCCGTCTGTCTGCCTGTTCCCCGTCTAACACGAGAACTAATAAAGACAGCGATGTTAAACCTTCGCCAATGGGTTTCTACGAATTCAAGGATCAGTGATATTGAATATGAGCCGGATCAAAAGTCTGGTTTCCGAATACGAGCTGAGTGGCAAAAACTTCCCCTACTGTTAATCGTATGCGATTCTTCGTATCTTGTTCTATTTGTGTAAGACAGGAAAATGAAAATCTCTACTTTCCATGTACAGTCTGCTTGTAATTTTTGAAACAAGTTGCGTTTAAGTAGACTTTGTATAAAAAAATGCGGAAGTGCAAATCTCCACTTTTCATGTTTCTTCATCCTCTCGTTGAAAGTACTAACGACCGGACAAGTACTAATCGTTAGTGCTTCCTTAGTGCCTCTTAGTGCTTTACAAATTGCATCGGCACGATCGGTCGTACGCAATTGAAACAGCCACTATAGAAGTTATAAGCATCAGCCCGAAATTACAGTAGTTATAATATGGCGAACATGCGCTGATGTTGTGTTGAGTATACAGGGTGTAACAATTTAGTATATCAAAAAAATTTCGTGTTATAGCGAACCAAAACAAGCATTTTCCCAAATGGATCAAGGGTTCAAAATGTTTCATTAGAGAACCACATACCATATCATATGGTATGTTAGAATTAACCGATTTACATACGTTTTTGGATACCCTAATTCTAATTTTATAAATATTTTCTCAAAGATAGAGCACCAAATTTTGATTTCCACTAAATTTCTTTTCCACATGAAAATAACGAATCCAAAATTAGTTTTTGAAAATTCGGAAACAGAAGTTCACCTGTAATTCTTGGCCGGATTACAAAAATGGCCCGAATTTCGAGAAATTTGAAGTCTAACAGTTTTTGTATGTGAGGTTCTAAAAAAAGTTGCCCTTTATCGTGGAAATCGCGTAATATAAACGAACTTCACTTAAAAGTGGACGCGCATGCGGTTTTTTAAAAGATAACATGTCTCTGGCAGTTAGATAGAGAGATATTTTTAAGCCAATTGACAGGCTTTTTACAAAAGTTTACATTACTTCTCTTCAATCTAATCCTCTTTATCCACCTCTCTCCTCTTCCCCCATGAACCAACATTTCTCGCCCTTTTTTGCCTGTTTTCCCTACTTCTTTGCATTCTATTATCAGGTGAGTAAAATCTTCTTCTTTCTCTCCGCATAACCTACATTTCCTTCCTTCTTATTGTCTCCACTCCTATCTTCCTCTCTCCTCGTTTCCACATCTAAACGTTGCATTTTAATGCATTTCTTTCCCTCTCCCAGATACTTCGGCACGACCTCTGTTATCAGCTCCCTGTTTCCTCTGGATCCTCACTCTCCGCTGCTGAACTTGTATATCTTTGTCTCTTTTTGTAAGTTCACTTCCGTCGTTTCCCCTATTTCTCCCCTGTTCGACCATTCGTTTCTCTATTCTTCCCATCACGTAATTCCTTCATATGTTTTACCTCTGTTGGCAATAATACTGTGTCATCCACGTAAACTCCTTCCCTCCTATCCTTACTCTATTTCTTGTCTCTCTACATAACTCCTTAATTCTGTTCTTTAAATTTTTGTCGATTTTTCTATCCTCCATCATTCCCCATACTTTTTCTCTTTTACTTTGTCAAACGCCGCCCTTAGATCAATGACATACGCTATCACCATTCCGCCCTTTTTTACCAATTCCTTTTGGATCGTTCCCCTCCATTGTCTAAAGCCTATTTGTGTTTCCTGTAACGTCTTCTTCTCCTCCTGTACGCCTCCTTCATTCTCATTTCATTCCTCCATTCTTATATATATATTTTCTTACTCCTGTTAAACTCCCTCATTTTGCTCCATCCTTTGTCTCTTTGTTTTTTCCAATTTGCACTAATTACATTTTAGCAGAAAGTGCAGTAATTCTAAAAAGAAACCACGACTATACCTCTGTGCTTCTAGATTGTTCAACAAAAGTAGAACAAATCGTTTTAAATTAACTTGCAAATTAATATATATAAACAAAGCGACCGTTAGTTAATTTTATTTCTGAAAATGCTCTAAAAAGGATGACTATTTATCGTTACTAAACGGAAATCATATGCTCTTCTTGAGTCTAAGCTATGTTTCAGGCATGATTGCCGTGGACGCCAAGTGTGTGAAGGGAAGGTCCGGCAGTCTGATTGATTTGCACCCTTCAGAAGTTATACCATGGCCAGTGACAATTCAGGATATCGGTAAGTGAAGACAGTTGTGATAATGTTCACAATTACCACAAAGTAGGATTTAAGTAAGATACAATCGAGGGGAAATTCACGAAACACCAGACTTGAATCAATTGTACTTCAAAAGACTTCATTTAGATTGCAACCAACTTCTAAGACTACAACGGACTTCTCACAGACTTCCAAGGACTTCAATATAGTCCTATAATACAGAGGGATCGCTGATCCGTGTTTTCTTCCTCCACGCAATCCGGTTCTCAAACTTTAACTTCTGTTTTTGAAATCAGGAGTAGATCGTTCGCCACATATTTTGCAGATCCATCACCTTTCTCAAGACACGCTCCTCATCATGCCAGTATCACTGCAATTTTCGGAAAATCCCAACGCAACATCTTACTTTGGTGTGATGGTCCTTCATACATATCCGTCACCAGACGCCGATATTCCCCACACCTTCATAGACCTCTTCTAGGTGCATGCAGATGAGGTGAAGCTCTTTTTTCGCCAACTGCGTCTGTTCTCTTTCCAAGCACGAAACTCGACTGACCTTTAGACATTGACGACTCGTCCCTTATTTTTCCCTTGCCATCTTTGTACGTGCCGTAAGTTTTTAACTTTTACGGTCTTGGAAATCTCCTTTTCCTTTGCAGATTGACATATCCAGGTACAAAATTGGGTCCATATCAGAGTGAGACCTTGTTTGTTTTGTTAGCTATTTCATTTCATTTGTGTTGGGCAACGTGATGTAAAAATCTCCATTCCAGGTTCTAACACCATGAGCATAACATTTGGATGTGCACAATTTAAGGGAACAACACCAACACTAGACAACAGACTTGAATCGTGAATTATCCCTTGTTTTAAATTGTTCGCAAATACTTTTTTCGACCACTTTTGGAAAGGTCACTCTAAAATTTGATGTTTTAGGCTCATTCTACCAGTGCCAATGTACCATAATGACTTCAATATTTGGTCGGTGTTAAAGAATTGCATTGGAAAGGAACTTAGTAAAATTACGATGCCTGTGGTTTTCAACGAGCCTTTAAGTTTTTTACAACGCATGACCGAATATATGGAATACGCTCATCTACTTCGGATAGCGACAGAACAAAGTGACCCAATTACACGTTTACAATATGTTACTGGTATGCCGCTATTGCTTATATACAATGATAGCATCCATAACATTTATGCAATTTAACAGGGTTTGCTGTGAGTGCACTAGCTTCAAATTGGGAACGATTAGGGAAACCGTTCAATCCACTATTGGGCGAAACGTTCGAACTTGAACGAGAAGAATTTAGGATTATATGCGAGCAGGTCAGTCATCATCCTCCCATTTCTGCGTTTCACGCTGAAGCGAGAAACAAAGAGTGGACTTTTCATGGATCAATACATCCGAAACTTAAATTTTGGGGGAAAAGTGTTGAGATTCAACCAAAAGGTGTGGTGACCGTATATTTTTCAAAGTAAGCAATTTTGATACTATTTATTGCCATCTAGTGTATCGCGTATTAAGTAGCATATACATATAATGGTGAGACGGTACTAGGCACAAAAGGCAAAAGTGTAGGGCTTAGGTTTCACTGTTGATCTCTTCCTAAGTCTTTAGCATGCACTAATTCATTATGTCAAGTTGTTATTTTTACCGAACTCAGTTTCTCTTGTTAGTTGCATTTGCGCCCTCAATATAGTTTATAGGTCCTGCAAGATTACGCTAATTTAAACACAAAACGGTGGAAATAGAAATGTCCAAAAATTCGAATTTTGGGAGGTTCTCTACATGCATCCCGTAGTTCTGAATTAATATCAGGATTATTTCCTTCATTAAGGCACAAAATTTGAACGCGCACGGTGCACGGATGCCACGTTTATCAAAACCTCTGGCAATGTTTTAATGCACTTTCGCTTGTTCAAAAGGAGGAGATATACAGAAAGTAGTTTTACATCAAAGCATTGCGTTCTGTAGTTTTCCCAACGAAATTGGTTTTGCTGTGTATATACCCATAAAGTAAGACCTTTATACAGATCGGTATAAACACAAAACTCTAGTGTCTAGGGCCTACCATAAAGCTAGTGTGGCTGTACATACGTAGACCCTCGGTCAAAAAGCGAATTTTGAAGCATTTCAATTTTAAACCGTTTACCGTGATTGTGACTTTTTATTCGTAAGTTCCTCTATTTTCAATAAGAATGTGCTAAACTTCACACACACCCACTTGACAGGTGCGTTTCCTATTTTCAATCAGGAAACAAACCCAACCATGTTAAAAAATGACGTTTTCCACCTAATAAAATTGTCAATTTTGGGAGATACTGTACATCTTGTTTAAAATTGTCTTATAATGGCATTGAATAAAGAATCAGATCCTTTATTCAATGGTACAAAAAACAGTTAACTTTATTTGCAAAGCCTCGAAATTGAACATAGGTACAAATATTGATATGTAGTATAATTACGTGCAATTGCAGAAAAAATATTTATTTCTCCTTTCCAATACGGTATCTATTGCTGGTGACGCCCCATCGCTCTCTCCCTTTACACTGTAGCATATAGGTAATTGTAATCATAATATAGGTGCTACATACGTATGTAATTGATCACGTAGGGACAAGGCATTGATAAAAAGCTTATTTAATTGCACTTGTTCAAATTTTACATTTCCTTTTCATTCTGCAATAAATCGTTGCCTTGCTAGGACTATTACATGCACTCGTGCTTCATTAAACACTCTCCAAGGCTCGTCTCGCCATTTTCGATTCCAATACAATATAAAAATGTAATAAATATTATATAATACTTTGTGAATCGAGCGAAGCGTTTGAAATATTTACAACATAGACATCAATAATGGCAAGAAATGTAGAAGTTCACTTTCCTCTATAAAAACTTTTTCTTCGTTTGTGATCCTGACATTTGATTTATTGATCTGACCTCTAGAGGTACTTAGCAACACATTATCGGTACTTTTAATCTAAGGAAAATTCTCACGCAATATTATAGGCACCCATGTTTAATTGTTCATTTGCTGTATTCAGGTACTAGAGCTTGTGTGCAACATATTTTTAGTGCAATTTATTTTCAGAGGTTGATATTTCCTTGGGCGAATTTTCGAGGGGAGAACGCCTGCAGGGGGTTTTCTTGTGGGAATGATTTTGATGTGCAATTATTTAGGGGAATGTAGATTGAGGAATTTGATGAGGAGAATTTTCACATTTGCTTTCCTTTGTAAATTAACCTTATTGACGTAGTACTTCCACAATTATAACTGCATGATTGAATTGTGAATTTGCTTACCATATTATTTGATGTGCTTCCAGCTAACATAAACCTCCCTTGCTAGGAACTCTTGCCTAGTTAAACTTGTACGAATTTCCAACACAAACCCAATCTTTTTATATTATACCTATACCCGTAATTACCTGTAATTAAATGCAAAATGACACCCTGCACTATGGTACGCCGTTTTTACATTTAATGTGCAAGAATATATCATTATAGTCTTGCAAATTAAATGTTAAAACGGCGTACCATACTGAGCTGAAATTTGGCAAGGAACTTTGGTTTTTTGGTACTTTTGGTTTATTCCCATTCTTTACAAAATGAAAGTAGATAAACATTTTTTAGAAGACCAACTGTTTAGCCGTTAGGGCGCACTAAAGAAAAACACATTCGAATATCTAGTGAAGATACGCCGAGATACCCCAGAAAAACCGAAATTTTCTGATTGCAGTTTTATTTGTAATGTGAGCGGCAACAGAAAAATAAAAACACTTTCTCATTGCCACTTTTTGAGTTCTACAAGACATTATTGAAAGACTTTCAATACAACGTATCGTTTCCAAGAAATCATCATCAACTTTGTTTTTTATATGACCACTATAAAATGTGCACACTTGAATATTTTATTACTATATACGGCACAAAAAATAAAACAAAAGTTAGAAGGTTTTGGTTACAAGAGGATGGTGTAACCGCGCACAACACCCTAATTCTGCGAGAATACCTACCTATCCGACAAATTTGTTGGAAAATAGAAAAATTTTTCTGATCGGTATTTTTTTATGTGCCGTACATCTTTGCATTCGTAATAAAAAATGCTACTCAATACAGCATGTACTTTTTTTACGGGTACCTAATATAAAAAAATTAATTTGATGATGATTTCTTCAAAACGAAACGTTGTATTGAAAATCTTTCAACGCTATCTTGCAGAGCTCAAAAAGTTGCAATGAGAAAGTGGTTTTTTTAAATTTTTTTTGTATCTATTCGAATAACATCAGAAAAAAATAAAAACCAAATTGGCAAATTTCGGTTTTTCTAGCATACTCGTACTCGTAATTTTTCCTAATTTGACCATCATCGTATCTTCTATAGTTTCTGAGATCCCCATGATAGACTTCCTTATCCTGGACACAGTGTATATATTATACGTAATTATATGGGTATATCGTATTTTCGTATACAGGGTGACACTTTTAAAACTTTCAATGGGCGATATCGTTTTTTATATTAGAGGTATCACAAAATGGCCAAAACCGTTTCGGTAGAATCGAGGGGGAACCAAAATGGTCATATAAAGAAGGAACCAACTTCAACCTCGTACCCCCCGCCACCCCCATGCCTACATTTTGAATTGTGACGTATCACTTGTGATACATCATTGGAAAGCTCTTAAAAAATGCTTTTCAGAAATACCATACACTGGTACATTTAAACTGCCCATTCACAATTTATTACACTAAAATTTGAACTCCGCAAATAAACAACTTTTATTTAATAAAATGTTCACCGTTTTGTTCTAAACAATACCACAAACGGTTTTCAAATTCATTTCTAACATTTTAAACACTTCCCTGGAAAGTGAACGGCACTCCCTGACTATCCGGTAGCGAAGATCATTTATGGAAGCTGGTTCAGTTTTGTACACAACCGATTTTAAATGACCCCAAAGAAAGAAATCCAATGGTGTCAGATCTGGAGATCGTACTGGCCATTCTATAGGACCTCTTCGTCCTATCCACTGTCCCGGAAATTTCTCTTCTAAAAATTCACAGCCATAGAGTAATGAGGAGGAGCCCCATCTTGTGGAAAATTTATGAAATCTTCAATCAAATTCATGTTTCCGTCAATTGGATTTATTTGATTCTCTATTTCATGAGTGATGAGAGGCTCGACGGTATTTTGTAGCATGTTTAGGTAAGTATCTCCAGTTAAATTTCCTTCGATAACCAGAGGACCAATAATGCTATCACCTAAGATACCTACCCAGACGTTAATTTTTTGGGGCCGTTGAGTATGCCCCTCGCGAAAAAGATGAGGATTTTTATCGTCCCAATACCGGCAGTTATGTTTGTTCACATTTCCATTTAAAAAGAATGTACATTCATCACTAAAACAAATGTTTTTCACCAGTTCCGGATTATTTTGAATATTCTCGGTCATTATTTCACAAAATTGGATTCTTCGATCGGAGTCGTCTTCGGATAGTTCCTGTACAATCTGCATCTTATAAGGGTAGAATTTGTGCACCTTAAGAGTTCGTCGTACAGTTTCTCGCGAAAGTCCGGTCATAGTCGCTGCTTTTCGAATAGATGATGTTGGGTTTGCACCAAAATGACCTAAAACTTCAATCTGAGTAGCTTCATCCATTATTCTTGGTCCGTCTCTTTTCTTATTTTCCACTGACCCAGTTTCTTCAAATTTAGTCACTAACATTGCAACATAAGTGTGACTGACACGTCGTTCTGGGTGTCGGGCATTAAAAACAGCTGCTGTTCTAAATGCAGATCGCGCTTCAGAACCATAGATGAAAATAATTTCAACTCTTTCGGCTAACGTGTACACCATTATGAAATCTTTAGTTAAATTCAAAATTTGTAATTTTCTTGCCAAGAAATACTAAAAACGAGACTAAAATAATAATAACCGATCAACAAATAAAGCAATAGAAAATTATTATTTACTAAAAATTGCTGTCATTGTTTTTCCAAAGCATCACTAGATCTAAGAAATTTTTTTTTATTTCAAACACTGACAAATTCATCAAATACTCAAATTACTCATTTTTATTACATAAATTGTGAATGGGCAGTTTAAATGCACCAGTGTTGGTATTTCTGAAAAGCATTTTTTAAGAGCTTTCCAATGATGTATCACAAGTGATACGAGGTTGAAGTTGGTTCCTTCTTTATACGACCATTTTGCTTCCCCCTCGATTCTACCGAAACGGTTTTGGCCATTTTGTGATACCTCTAATATAAAAAACGATATCGCCCATTGAAAGTTTTAAAAGTGTCACCCTGTATATATTTTGGGTTCTATTGACCATAGTCCATAATATACTGTACATAACTACTTTAGTAATATCTGCATTTTATTCGTTTGTCTCCATTTTTAAAACCCGCACGTTAGTAAGGGAGGTACTGCATTGGGCTAAAAAATGCCCCCCCCCCCACACTTTTTTACGGAAATACACGTTTTGGAGCACGAGGAATCCGAATCAAACAAAATCGCAATGGCTGTCGTTCTGTCTGCCTGTACTCTCATTTCCGGCTAAACGGCTAAACCGATTTGAACCAAATTTGGTACACGTATTCCTAAACATAAAAGGAAGGGATGAAACGCTTTTGGGCAGAACGCGCATGCACAGGTGGTATCTGTGATCTTTTGCTGGAGGCTGGAAAGTCAATTATGTCCTGTTTTTCTCGTCAACTATTAGAAAAAGTTGCTTCTTGGTCCATCCGTGACAAGTCGTTTTTGGTCGATTACCGAGACAAAGAAGCCATTGCTCTTTTTGAAATCATCGATTGAGATATCTCTTGTTATGTTTGTCTGGCAGTTAAATACGTACACTTCCCTTTGCTTTTTCCCTGCAGACTAAAATCTGCTAAGGAATGTCGCTTCCCTGGTCGATCTCAGACGAGTTGGTTTTGGTCGAGTTTTGAATCTAGGCCATACACTTGATTTTTAAAGATCGGGTCCATTCGGATAACGTTTTGGTTGATTTTTAAAGACGAGGCAGGTATTTCCGGCTAAACGGCTGAACCGATTGGAACCAAATAGGATAAAAATAAGAGCTGAAAAGCTTTTGGGCAGAATCGCGCATGCGCAACTGTGCGAATAGCATTTGTCACAAAACGCTTCCTTTCTGAGGTACCGGTCAACTGAGGAAAGTCCCAAAATTTAGACAAAAAGTGAAAAAAAAAACAGTTCCGAGCCAAATTTTTGCCTGCAAACTTCAAATTCATGTTCAGCGATTCAAAAAGCATGAAAGGCGAGAAAATAAAAACTATAGGAAAACTTTCCTCTGATAATCATAATATGCCTAGCCCAGGCCTCTACAATACGTCTCTTGCTATCTACAAAGCATTTTTTACAACTGTCGTAAAGGATTTTTCATATTATTATTGTTACGTCCCAAGGATACTGATGGCTCTAAGGGGCTCTCAGGTACTTTACAGCACCAAGTATAGCGAAGGAGCGCCTAGTAAACCACGGTACCACTCTGATGGCGCCATATAAAGCATAATGAAGTCAAGATCAGCAGGGTGGCATTTGGATGGCTCTAAAATGGGTTAAAAGTACCAGTTTTGATGATACGCATTGGGGCAGGGTGGAAGCAAGTAGAGCGAATTGACGCTAGGAAATGCAAAGCGGCGTATCACGGCTGTGATGATCCTCACCAAAAAAGGTCCTTTTAACACCACGCTTTCCTTCTTGACGTAATCAGGGCGTCTTAGCCACCACTGTGCTGTTCTGGTATCATTATATAGTTGTGAAACCCCTTTTTTGAAAATTAATATTTCGAAATGTTAACTGTACATGATGACACGACATTTCCAATTTAAAGTCGAAATACAAGTATGTCAAATCAAATTGCTGGGGGGGGGGGGGGGGGGGGGGGTTATTCTACGTTTGTCTTTCGAACAATTTTATTAGGTGGAGTCGATTTTGTACTAAGGTCGCCGGGTCCCTAAGAAGGTTTCCGGTTGGTACCTGTTCGATAACACCCTTTAATTTTAATTTTTAAATTTAAATGTTATGTCTAGGTAGGTCACTGCAGACAATAATTACCACGATCCAAATATGCCAATTTGATTAAAGTTCTAATGTTACTTTTACATTATTCCAAAAAATCTGGAGTACAGTATTATACCTACCTTCTAGAATAGTAATAATAATACCTATTGAAACAAACTTTTACACATAAATATTATATCTACCTACAAATTCTGGCAACTATCACAATATACACAACTCAAAATAACATTACTCCGGTTTCCCCAGGTTTAACTCTTAAAATATGAACGACGTAGAGCAATACACATGTTCCATTTGTTAGGTGGAACGAAGCCTACTCTTGGACAAATGTCCAATGCTGTGTTCACAATATAATCGCCGGCAAGCTTTGGATGGAACAATATGGAAATATGGAAATAATAAATCATTCGACTGGTTACAGATCGAATTTAACATTTAAACAGGCAGGTTCAAATTCGAAAGATCTTCATAGGATTGAAGGCTACTTACTGGATAAGTCGTAAGTCGTAATATGTGTAACATTACTGAAATAGGTACCTACCCATACCTGAAAATTTCAGGAAACGCAAACTGTTCTATTTGTATGGAAAGTGGACGGAATTTTTAAAATGTGTTGCACACCATACCTACGAAGAATATCAAAAAGAAAACTCTGTTAAATGTAAACGTGATCGCGATGGTGAAACACGAAGTAAGAGTCCAAACGATTCGCCATCCCACACTCCGAGAAAGGTTTTGCAAAAACTTAACAGTTTAAAAGTGAGCGCGTTTAAATCAAGTACTACACAGGAAGTATGTAATTATAGTTTTCTACACACTTGCATTAAAGAAATGGTCGTTCTTTAGAGCATGGATGAGTCCCTTTCTCCTGATATGTGCGAAGGAGATATTCCCAAAAGTGATTCTACATATTCTATAAACATTCCAAATTCATTTACAATTTGGACAGTAAACCCACGGCCTCCAAATTGTGAAGATGTAAGTTGACTACATTGATCCTGGAAGTACGATATATCCAAACCACATCAAAGATTCAGTGCATGTCAGGGGGTATATTAATTCTGTGCTGTTTTAGTACTATCAATTTACATCATTTGCCATGTCCTTAAATGAAATTAATCAAGGAATGCAAAAAACGCTGTGTCCTACCGACTCTCGTCTTCGGCCTGATATAAAGAAATTGGAGCAGGGGGATATTGATGGCGCCGCCATAGAAAAGACACGGTTGGAAGAAAAACAAAGAGACGCATGTAAACAACGAAAATGCAAAAAAGGTGATTGGAGTCCGCGGTAAGTCACCTCTCTTTCCCACATCCTTATATCAGAACACCTGTGCCAATTTTCAAAGCTACACTAATTATTAATTTCCTAAGCTATATTTCAAAGCACCCTTATTGTGAAGTTTAAGAACACACTGTATCCCGTCCATTTGGGCAAGTATCTTGATTTCCAATGCGACTCCTAAATTTCACTTATCCTAGATCTAACACTTTATGACTTTACTGTTGTGGACAGAACCAATATCTACCTCTTTCTCTATATTAATAAGGTTTCTACAGGACGCGGCAAAGTTTGGTAATATGTCCCAGAGTTTTTGAATTTGACTTCCCCCCTGTACTTCTTACTTCAAAATGCGTACACCTAAGACACTATAAACTTATTATTTATTTGGTTTAGGTGGTTCAAATTTGAAATGAATCCGTATACAAAACAAGAAGATTGGCTGTGCAATGGTGAATATTGGAACCGACAATACATAGAAGAAGATGATATATTTTGAAAGTAGGTCGTATAGATTTTATGTAGCAAAACAGAATAATCGTCATGTTTAAACTGTTAATATTGAGCAGCAAAACTGTTACTTTTTATTAGTTAGCATTTAGCCAAAGTAGCACGGAGTGGATTTACCTAACAGTATTTTGTGAAACATTGGTATTACAAACGATGGACCTATGCATTCTTTATCATCACTATTTATTGTAGCTTTGTAGTAGTATCAAAGGGTATATGACCCACAGTACTGTTTGGTAGTATTTATTTTTTTAAGGCGCTATTAGACATAAGACAGGTAAGTTGTACATACTATTAAAAATAGGCATCTGTATATGTGTATCTAATTAGTATGGAACTGTACATTAGGCATGATGCTCGCTATACAACTTGGTATAAATTAATTCCCAGTCCATGTCAGAACCAAACACAGTAAGCATGATAAACTACAAGGACACCGTATTGACATATATGACAGCTAGCAAAAATTATCAATTCATACAGCACGCTGCAGCACTTAGTGGTATCACTGAAGCAACGTTCTTAATAATAGTCAAATCACGCATTAAAATGGATATGTGGATTTTGAATTTGAAGTTGAAAATTTGGAGTATCTGGGTATAATCCTTAGAAATCTCTGCCAATCTTATTACGTCTCCAACTCTGCATTTCCACAGCTCTCGTCCTAGCTCTCTAATAACTATTAAATTCGAACGTAAAAAAACTCTTGAAACGCATTTCTAGTATTCTATCGCAGAAATGAAATGTGCTGACCCATTGTTTCTACTCAATAGAACACTCTTGTATATTTTTTGCTTTTATATCACTTCTGATACCACAAGCCCTTGCAGCCTCATTAACTCGCTCCAATTGTTAAACTGATGCGATCCACTCCAGAAAATAAATAACGTAGCAGCGTGTTTAGTGCTTCCAAATTGCGAAATATGTATTGAGAACTTTTCTACTCGTAGGTACATATCTGAGTGCCAAAAGTACGCTGCCTTGATACATATTTCCATTATTGTCCCTCAATTATTTTCCCTGGGTTTCCTGCTTATTGTATGTGTTTTTACCATTTCTCTACATGGGATAGGTAGGTACTTTTACACAAGCATGCTACTTAAATTATTTTATTTATAATGAATTATCCAGACATGCCATGCTTTATGTATATCGCTACATGCTCATGTTTACTGGATTTGAGTGTATAGCTCAAAGTCAATAAATAAGAATGTTACAAGGGCAATTATACATTATATGAGTAAAACATTAGAAATAACTACTGTTCTCATTACCTACCTACACTTTGACCCCTCTGATTGCATGGGCTATGGAGGATATAGTAAAAAAATTTAAATTACCTACGATTGGTGTTTTATATGAATTTAAAAGTATATTAGTAAATAATTTCTTGTAAATTTGAATGTAAACCACACAAAATATCTTGCCAAGTTATGCCAGTTGTTTATTAAACGTAATTTTCCTCACAAACACTTTTTAGTTCCAATTTTACCTAGAATTAATTACGCAGTAAAGAAAATTTGGGCTAGCAATAATAGTTTTCACGGTCCTGAAATGTACACTTCAATACTTCTAACTAATACTGTGTGTAACCCGAAGTGAAATTTATTTTACTTACCTACAAATTATTGGCTGTTGTATAAATAGGCGTTACCGGCACTAGATAATGATTGTGTAAGACATGTATGTAAAATTATGTGTAGATAATAAAGGAGCATATGTAGTACAAGTTTTTATGTTCCCTACATACAGAGCTGCGCAGTATTCGATTTTGTAAATACTTTTTAGTCTTCAAATCCATTAATTTAATTTTTTTAGGGCCTCAAAAAAAGGCAGAGTATCCTTCCTTCCTTTTTTACCAAAAATCGACTGCACCAAAATTTCTCGGGAAAACACTTTTTCTTATTAATTTTGGTGCGTGGAATAATCCAAAACAATTCGTACTTTTTCGATCAGACTTCTCAATCAAAAGTTATAGACTAGAAACCAATTTCGAAAGAAAATTCAAAGGGCTGTAACTTTTGAACTAGTACCCCAATCTTGGAACTGTTTGAAATTCTGGATTCTACAGGCTACATTCTATAAGAAAAATTTTTTTCCGGGTCGATCTGAGACAATTTTTTTTGAGAGCCTCAAAAAAAGGCAGTGTATAACCTTCTGTTTTTGTCAAAAATCGACTGCACCAAAATTTCTCGGGAAAACACTTTTTCTTATTAATTTTGGTGCGTAGAATCCAAAACAATTCGTACTTTTTCGATCACTTTTCTCAATAAGACATTGACACCCGTGGATCAACATTTGACACCGTGGATCATACACTCTTGCTAGAGAAACTTGAACGGATTGGGATTAGAGGCATTCCACTGCAATGGTTTCGCAGCTATTTATCAAACAGGAAGCAATACGTTAAAATCGGACAATCGAATAGTTCTGAGCATTTAATTAAAGTGGGGGTGCCTCAAGGCTCTGTCCTGGGCCCGATCCTATTTCTGATCTT